GCATCGCCTCGACGCCGCCGAGACCGTCGCCAAAGCCGGGGCCGAAGAGGGCCTCCTCCGACTGTGCGTACCCCTCCGGGAAGGGCTCGGTCGCGACGAGCGGCGGCGAGAGGCGGCCGGTCGCGTTGAGCAAGCGGGCGAGGTGGCCCGAGCCTGCGCCCACCTCCACCACCTAGAGGCGCGGGGGGAGGCACTCTCAGCGGGATCCGCGCGCCGCGCGCGCCGCAAGCCGCCCTCGGAGCCCGCGCCGGCCGGAGCGGCCCATCTCGGCCTCGCTGGATCTGCCGCTGCCGCCGCTGAAGGTAGGTCGCCAGGGCGTCGACCGCCTCGCGCGTGGGGGCGAGGGCAAAGTGCACCGTCGACCGGACGAACCAGGCGAACGGGGAGGCCCAGCCGCGCGCCATGAGCGGGTTGGAGGGGGCACCGTACACGAGGCGCTGCCTGTACGAGGCAAGCGAGGAGGCTGGTGAGCCCGGCTGGGGCTGGTGGCGGTCCGCACCCGCCGCAGCAGCGGGCACAGCAGCACGAGGGTGTCGTGGAGGGAGAGGGCAGCGAGGGAGCCGCCTGGTGCGCAGAGGCGGGCGGTCTTGGCGGGCGAGGGAGAGGAGGGGGGCGCGCAAGGTCGGGGTGCGGCGCCTGCCGCTCGCACGGCGTCAAGGAGTCGCGACGCCTCGCTGCCCTCGTCGTCGCGCCCACGCGGCGCGGGCCACCGGCCGGGCCGAGGCAGCCGCAGCCCAAACGCGGCCGCCCAGCTCGCGCGCGGGTGCGCCATCTTGCGGTCCCGCAGAGCAGCGAGGCGCGACGGGTCGATGCGCCGCGCGCGGATGCCGTCCGTGGTGAGGGCGGCGAGGTAGAGGGTGGAGAGCTGGCCGAGTCGGTTCTCGTCCACCTGCGAGGGGCGGGGAGGCGGGATGGTGGGGAGGGGCCGCGAGGCGGCGGGAGGGGGAGGAGGAGGAGGAGGAGACGTCGTGCAAGCGTGCTGCAACGGGAGGCGTGGGCGCGGACTGCGCGTGCCGCCGCTGCCTTTGCCAGCTCCTCGAGCCGGCCGCGCGGCGCGACGAGCCGCTTGAGCGCGCAGAGGATCGGAGGCAGCTCAAAGGAGGAGAGGAGCAGCCGCAGCCTCGTGAGGAACCGCGCCGCCGCCTTTGGCAGCGTCGCGGCGCGGCTTTGAGGCAAGAGGCCGAGCGCGCCTGAGGGACGTGCCGTGGACGTGTCGTGGACATGCCCTGGCAGGGCGCTCAAGGAAGCGGATCTCCGCCGTCGAAGAGGTCGCTCGAGCCGAGAGCGACGCCCGGCCCGCTGTTGAAGAGGGCGAGGAGGGCCTCGTGCGCGAGGGAGATCGACTCGGCCGAGGGGACAGCCGCGCTCCCGCTGGCCGAGGGCTGGGTTGGCGGCGGGCCTCGTCTCTCTCGCGGCTGGTCCACCAGCCGAGAGAGCACGCTGCGCACAAACTCGACCCGAGGCAGCAGCCCGCGCGCCCTCAGCAACGCATGCTCGCCGACGGTGTTGCCCATGACAGCCGCGCGGTAGTATGCCTCGGCCCTCCCCTCCTCCGCCCTCCCCTCCTCCGCCCTCCCCTCCTCCGCCCCTCCCTCCGCCAGCAGCACGTCGCGGGACTGGAGGTGCGCTGGGATCCGAATCGGCACGCGGCCCCACCAGCGGTCGCCAAACCGGCCGAGGCGGCGGTACTTCTCCCTCCAGTTCTCCAGCCCGCAGCTGCAGTAGTGCAGGACCGTCGGCCCGTCCGCCGCGTCCAGCTGCGCCGCGCACGCCACCGTCAGCGGGGCGCGCCACCCTGTCCCGTCCGGGACGAGGAACTTGTGTACGTCGTATGGCACCGGCCACGCCTCCGCGCGCCTTCCCGGGAGGCGGACCGCGCTCTTGCCAGACACGTAGGCGATGAAGTACGAGGCCGGCGCCGCGCCGCCGTGCGCCTTGCGGCGAGCGGCGGCGACGCGGCGCCAGAGAGCGTCGAGCGAGGCGCTGGAGGGCGGGGCGGAGGGGCCTGCAGGACAGGCCATGGACGAGTCACGGACTTGCACATCACTCGGGAGGTGGGAGAGGGCCGGGGAGGGAGGGAGGGGAGGGAGGGAGGCGCCTCCGGGGGAGGCGTCGGCGACGAGGGCGGCGTTGAGCTTGAAGAGCGACACCTCGCGGGACCAGTCGCTCACGTGCAGCTAACCCTAGCCCTAACCCTGACCCTAACCCTAACCCTAACCCTAACCCTAACCTCGCGGAACCAGTCGCTCACGTGCAGCGCCTCGGGCGCCGCCTCGAGGTTGGAGAAGAAGACCTGCAGAGGCAACAAGCATGGACTGATGAGCGACTGAAGGTTGAACTCCTCGAGGCTCGAGAAGGCGACCTGCTCTGTCGCGGCAGGCATGGAGCCGAAGAAGTCGACGGGGTGCAGCCGGCACGGCAGGAAGGCCTGTAGGAAGGTTCCGAGAAGGCTCATGGAAGGTTCCCACGCCTCAGCCAAGGCACTCCGCAGGAAGGCCTCGTCGATGTCGATGTGCAGCAGCCAGTCGAGGCCCTCCGCGCTCGCACGCACGACGGCGTGCTCGACGCACAGCGACTGTCTGCTCTGCACCTCCGTCTCCCACCACCGCGCCGCGTCCTCAAAGACGGACTGCTCGCTGCGCCGCGCCACCATTGCACTCGTGCGGAGCAAGCGTTCCCAAAAGGCGGCGTCGCAGCGCGTCACCACCACGCCGTCGCCACCATCGGGCAGAGCCAGCGACTGCCAGTACTCGTCTGACGCGTCGTCGAGGTAGAGAAAGACACGCTCGAAGCCGATGGCACGGTGGTAGGCGAGGTGCGAGCGGACGGCAGACGCAGGCGCACCGGCGCACATGGTCACCACGCCGAGACGTGCACTCAGGCGCGGCGTGGGCAGGTCGTCAGCTGAGGCGAGAGGCGGCGACCACGAGGAGAGCGCTGGGCCGGGCTCGACTGTCACCGCGACTGGCTCGGGCTGCGGAGAGTGCTCGGCTTGGCCTGGGCCTCGCGTGCAGCCGCTACGCCGCCGGTGCGAGCGGATGCGCCAGTCGCCTCGGCCGGCGCGGCGAGAGGAGGTGGAGCAAGCATCGGGAGCTGAGCTTGCTGGCATCGCGGCGGCAGCCCGAAGCGGGACCGCCCAGGCTGCGGGCAAGCCACCCAAGCGGACAAGAGCCGTTTTAAAACTTTGCTCGCCACAACAACACCATCTTTGCCCACTCCTCCCCGCTGTACACACTGTAGTCGGCCCCGTGAACCTTCGGCCCCGCTGTGAACACTGTAGTCGGCCCCGTGTACACACTGTAGTGTGCTGTGAGTGCCCCTGTGTGAAGAGTGCGTAAGGGGTTGGATTTTGCCCCCCCCCCGGGGGGGGGGGCAGGCGTCACTTCGCTGTTTTTTCCACAGCACGCCACTAGGGAACCTCGTGAATAAACGAGTATAAAGAGCGTTGGATTGGGACAGATCCGGCACAAGCAACAAAGGTGGGGACGTGTCTTTCCTAGCTCGGGCCGTCGGTTTCTTTCTTCCCTTTACAGGGAGAGATGGGCCCAGGTAGGAGGCTCCACGCCACCTGACTCGCGTCGTGCCACCTGACTCTCGCCTGGAGAGGCCTCTTAGCCGAGGCACACGTGGCAATCGCCACGTGCGCCAACAGGGATTTCGGCCATTTTAGAGCCTTTTGCACAAAAATGCAGGTGGCTTTAGCCACTTGCTCCATGAGCAAAACAGTGCAAAAAGCACCTGGAGCAGATGGCTTACGCCGCCTGTGGACATGGGCAAAACAGTGCAAAAAGCACCTGGAGCAGATGGCTTACGCCGCCTGTGGACATGGGCAAAACAGTGCAAAAAGCACCTGGAGCAGACGGCTTACGCCGCCTGTGGCCATGGGCACGGCGGTGTGCGCCGCCCTCGCCGTCGTCGCCAAGGACGAATCTTCTCACGCCGCCCTCGCCTGGCGCTAGCTCGAAGTTGGACCATCAGGCGTGACAGGATTGCTGTGAACGTTGCAGGGCTGCTCTCTAGGCGCGAGCTCGAGTGGGCCATCACGCGCCAGCCCTCGCTGGCAGCGACCCTCAAGCATGTCCTCGACGCGGCCGCCACCGCCCGGCTGCCAGCGAGAATCGATACCGCTGGCGGCGACGAAGTCGATGCGAAAGCCTTGGCGGAGCACGGTGTGCCGACCGCGCGGCTCCGTGCCAAGGCTGCCGACTTGGCAGCCAGGCACGTGATCTGGCCGGGCGCGGCCTCTCTGCTCACGGACGGCTCCTCGCGTGTGGAGATGCTACTCCGCGACGCCCTCGCACAGGCCAGCGCGGACCTGCCCCTGGCGCACGCAAACGCGACGTGCGCCCTGGTCTAGAGCTGTGCGTGGATGGGTTTACAGCGGGCAGATACGGGCAGAAACGGGGAGATACGGGGAGATGCGATGAGATGCAAGGAGATACGGGGAGATACGGTCAGATATTGCAGAGATACATCAAGATACCGCAAAAAAACCGTCCGCACTAGGGCGCTGTTAGACGTGGAGACGCGAGGGTCGCCCCCCCTTGCCCCACCACCTCGTGTGTGTGGAGAAGTTTACCTTACCTTACCTTACCTTTTTTGTGCGCGAAGGGGGTCCCTGTGCTGGCGTCTCTCTTTGTCGAGCAGCGTTCATGGAGGCACGAACCGATGCGAGTCGACTGGTGTGTCGTCGTGGTTTCGTATCAAGAATACTCACTCACACGCCTGGCCATGGGGGGGTGCGCGTTCGCACAGAGTTTTCCGTAAACACGGCTCGGGTCTCCCAGGCGCCAGGGAGGGTTGGTTCCGTAGCAAATTTCCCTTACCCCCAGAACGCCCAGATAGCGGAGCACTTGGAGCACTTGGAGCGCTTGGAGCACTTGGAGTGCAGTCATCAACCTCACATCCAGGGCCGGGGAGCTGAGAAGCGCACCCAGCGGGCCGGATGAGGGCGCGCTGATTTGTTCCCGCAACTCGCACGTCCCAGGGTGTAGACATATATGACCACCCTCGTCCGCGCCGAAAAGCCCAGCGAGCCAGCGGAGGTCGTGCTAGACGCGTCTGCTGCGGGCTTCAACGCGACATCTGTCGAGTTTGCTCTCCTGTTCTCGGAGCTTGCAAGCGTGCGTGACCTCTGCGATTCGCTCGCCGGCGTTCTCCACCAGTACGGAACAGTGGGTGGGCGTATGGTGAAGCGCGGCACGAGCACAGTTGTGCTGTGTAACAATGCCGGCGTCCCACTGACGCATGAGAGCCGACAGGGCCCACCACCGTCGCTCGCCCACCCTGTCGACGAGGAGTACTTTGACCTAGTGCGGGACTGGGTCCCCACGGCTGAGGTCGCGGCCGACGCGCCGACTCGAATCAAGGTGACCGACTTTGATCAGGGTCAGCTGATTGCGATTTCAGTGAGCCACGGTATCGTCGACGCTCGCAGCCTCGGCGTGTTCCTGCGCGCATGGTCAGCGGCATACCGCGGCGACACAACCGACGAGCCGGTCTCTTTTGACGCGTCGGTGTTGCCCGCTGCGCCGGCTGGCTTCGGCGCCGCACCTGTCGTTGCGTCCGATGGCATCCCCGACGCGTGGCGAGCACACCATCGGCCTTTCAAAATGCCGCACGGGACGGCCTTTGCGCCAGCGGTGACCACGTATCACCGCTCGCGCACCGCGCTCGCCGCTCTCGCCGCGCGCTTCGACCCCGAGGGCGGGTCGCCGCTCTCAGCCAACGATGCCCTGTGTGGCGAGGTTGCGGAAGCAGTCGGTGCCACGAGCGTCGCGCTGATGGTCGACTACAGGCAAGCCGTTGGGGCGGGCGACCTCTTTGGCGTCGCGATCTCAACGCAGGACGTGGTGGCCGAGGCGCCGTCTGGAGTCCCGGCAGCGCTCCGCCGCGCCGTGCCGCTGTGGCGCGCGCGCGACTTCGTCGATTGGAAGATCGGGCAGGGCTCTGGTGGATGCGCTGAGGTGTTCTTCAACTCGTGGGTGCGCGCCTTTGCGCTTCCAGAGACCAGATTCGCGGCGCCAGTGCAGACCATCATGCTTGGCCGAAGCATGTGCGCTGCGCGCATGCGGGCATTCGCACCGATGGGCGTGCCGTATGTGCTCATGCTCCCACACAACGACGGCGTCACGGTCGTTGTGATGGGGCCCGAAGACGTGGGAGGCCGGATTGAGGGCGCTTCGTCTGTGGCACTGCCCTCTGAATAGAGCTAGAAGCCGGTCTCTAGAGTAGCAGACTCTCGCCGCTCGCTCCGCTCCGCCTCCGGACTCGGTGGGGTCACTGCACACTGAACGCGAAACACCACTTTGTGTGTGGAGAAGTTCAGCGCCAAAACGACGTACTGACGTACTACCTACCGTACCTTTTACCTTTTGAGAGATGCGGGAAGCCCACGCCCGGACCCACTCACCCACTGATCGTCTCGACTCTCACGTGAGCTGCTTCACCCCACCCCCACGAGGCGCGCCCGCACCGCCTCCGCGAGCCGCGCCGAGCCCGCGGCGCTGGTGTGGATCCCGTCGCCGGCGAGCAGCTCGCAACACGCGCTCTGGTTGGCGGGGCAGCCGCCGAACGCGGTCTCGACGAGCTGGGCGGGCGCTCCTTCCGAGGCGAGGACACGTGCGGCGCGGCCCACCAGCGGCGGGAGGAGCGTCGAGATGACGCCCTTGTCGAGGTTTGCGCCGCCGACCGAGCCGCGCGGGTAGCCAACGCCGAGCAGCGCGGCCTCGGCGGCGTCGACGGCGTGCGCGGGTGGAGGCACGAGCAGCAGTAGCCGTGGCCGCGAGGGCAGGGAGAGGAGCTCGCGAGCCAGGCTGAGCAGCGCCTCGACGTACCCGTCTCTCGGGAAGACCATGGCAGGGCCCCACGTCTCAGGCTTGGCGTCGTTCGAGCCAACCATCAGCGCAACCACGTCGGGTCGGAAGCAGCTGACCGAACGCCACTCCGCGGTGCGGCGAAGCGCCGCAGGGCCGTCGGCGGCGGTTCGGCCGCCGTGCGAGAAGGACCCGACAACGAACGCCTCTCCCAGCGCCGCCTGGAGCATCGCCGGCCAGTTGCCGCGGCCCTGCAGCTGCCGCTTGAAGGGTGGGTGCGTCCCTCTGCCGGGCTCGTGGCTGGCGTCGCCTCGGGTGATGGAGTCGCCGATACAGGCCACCCTCTGCCGGCCCGGCGACGGCGGAAACTGCTCCTGGGCGCAGCTGGGGCACCGGTGGCCGGGAGGCGCGGGAGACGCGGACGCGAGAGCACTCGCGCACGCCCTGCGCCGCTCGTCGCCTTCACTCGCGACGTCCGTCAGCGCGCCGTAAATCGTTGCGCTCGCGGGAGCAGCGGAACTCTCCTGCCGCCGTCGCCGCGGGCACCGGGCGCGGACTGGCATCGGCGGGGCCGGCCCGAGCGGCCCGCGCACTGAGACGGTCCTGAAGGACGCATACCGCTGCGGCGAGACCACTGGCGCGTCGCACGCGGCGGACCACGCGCACGACCGCTCCCGCATTGAGAAGGACGCAAACCCGCAGCGGTCGCACTCGCGGCAGCGCCGGACGCAGCTGTCGAGGCTGGTGATGTTCCACCGCCGGCCAGTCCGCCAAGCGCCGCGGTCACCATGGACGCAGTCGAAGCGCTCGCCCGGCCGGACGGAAGCGCAGGCGCCGCGGGACGGGTGCCGGGTGGCCATCTCTGGAACGACGGAAAAGAAGAAAACCGGAATTAAAACTCGGAAGGTGAGCAAGTCGCCAGAAGTGACCGAGCCAAACCGAGGGCTCGCGCCCTGACGGGCGGAGGACGGGGCCGGTCATCCTCCTCCCATCCGCATCCCTCGAGCCTCGTCTGTTTTCTTCACCAGATTGGCGAGCCCAGATTCCATCGAAAGCTAATCACACGGGGCGCGGGGCGAGCCACATCATCACCGGCTCGCGGCAATACGGGCACTCTCGCATCAGCCCGGAGCATGGACCGCAGACGCACAAGTGGCTGCACGGCACCGCGAGGTGAGACTTCGGCCGCTCGAAGCATATGATGCACGACGTCTCGCCTCCCATGGTGGACTCTGGGGCAGCCGGCCGCCCCGTGTCGAGGCCGGCGTCCGCTAGTGAGACGGCAGCAAGCGGCTCAGTGACTGGCAGATGCTGCTCCGCCGCCTCTGGCCCGATCAAGCGCTCGATGGCGCCGACCCGCTCCTCGAGGCTGCCCTCGGTCGCCGCGCCGAGGCTCGCCTCCAGCCGATCGACACGCCGCTGCAAGTCCCCGCCGCCGCCGGTCGACTCGCTGCTCACCGCCTCCTCGCACCGCGACACCCGACGCGCCAGCGCCGCCTCCTCCGCATCCACCTCTGACCGGCGCAGCGCCTCTGCTAGCTCCGTAGCTTCTCGCAGCGCTGCCCGCTCCGCCGCGCCCGCTCGCTCTGCCGCCTCGCGCTCCGCTCGCCTCGCCGCCTCCTGCTCAGCAGCCAGCCGCGCCGCCCTCTCCTCCTGTGCGCGAACCTCTGCTGCAACCTTCGCTCTCCGCTCCTCCTCTAGCTTGAAGGCAGGCGGCGCCTTCTTGGCCTCCTTGTTCTTCGCCTTGCCCTCCTTCCTAACCGCTTTCTTCTCGGCTGCCTTTGCGCGCTGCTTCGCCTTCTCCTCCTCCGCCCTCCTGTCTGCAGCCTCCTTCTCGCGCCGCTCCGCCTCTGCCTGAGCCGCGTTGCGCGCAACCGCCGCCGCCCGCTGCTCCGCAAGCTGCGCCTCCTCTGCTGCTCGCCTCTCCGCCTCCCTCGCCTGCAGCGTCTCCTCTGCTGCCGCTCGCTCAGCGGCCAGCTTCGCCTCCGCCTCTGCCGCAATGGCTCGCCTCTGCTCCTCGAGCGCCGCCGCAGCCGCCGCCCGCCGCGCCCCGTCCGCCGCCCGCTCCGCTTCGCGCTGTCGTGCCGCCTGCTCGCGCTCTCGCGCCGCCGCCGCCGCCTCCCGCTCGCGCTGCTCGCGCCGCCCCTTGGCCTCGAGCGCCTTCTCCGCCGCCTTCTCTGCCGCCTCGGCCTCTCTCTCAGCCGCTGCATGCTCTGTGAGAGCGCGCACGCACCCGGCGTGGTCCTTTGCAGGAGCGCCGGCGGCGTCGGCAGTCGCAGGCTTGGCCGCCTCCTCCTTGGCGATTTGCAGCGCGGACATGCCGTTCGCACCGCGAGCCTTCGTATCTGCGCCAGCCTGCAGCAAGCGGAGCACGATGGGGAGGTGGCCGGTGGCGGCGGCGCCCATCAGCGCGGTGATGCGGTTGCTTTCTTGCACGTTGACCTCCGCGCCATGCCGAAGCAGCAGCTCGACCACCCGCTCGTGGCCTTTGATGACGGCGCCCATCAGCGCGGTGGTGCTCTTGCCGTCCTGCAGGTTGGCATCCGCGCCGCGCCGCAGCAGCAGCTGGACCACCCGCTCGTGGCCCTCCTGGGCGGCGAGCATCAGCGCGGTGACGCCGATGTTGTCCTGCAAGTTGACCTCCGCGCCGCGCTGATGCAGCAAATCGACCATACGCTCGTGGCCTTTAGTGGCAGCGTACGTCAGTGCGGTGGCGCCGTCGCTGTCCAGCAGGTTGACTTGAGCGCCGTACTGCAGCAGCAAGGCGGCCACCCGCTCGTGGCCCTGGCCGGCGGCGTCCATCAGCAGGGTAACGCCGGTCACCTCGCCATTCTCGCGCGTGGTGTTTGCTCGCCCGCCTCTCTCGAGCCACGAACGCACCGCCGCTTCGTCGCCACGCAACACCGCGTCGACATGCGGCTCGGCGAAGCTCGACATCGAGGAGGTAAAGAGAAAGCCGAGCGCGCACACGACCAGCGATCCTGTATTGCACACACACACACACACACACACACACACACACACACACACACACACACACACACACACACACACACACACACACACACGCACACGCAAGGGCGAGGACACGCGCAGGGGCCGCACCTCTAGCGAAGCCCACAGAGTGGGAGACTCCTATCACCGCCCTGCCACCCACGTGAGCCTTTTGGCCGCCTCTGTCAGTGTGCCCGTGGTAGTGAGAGACTGCTGGTGAGAAGCCGGAGGAAGGTCGCTAGTCGAGAGAGATCGCCAGTGGAATAGGGAGTCCACCGTGCTGCGAGCCTGTCGCTGTCCCTTGTCAGGAGCAGGAGAACTAGGAGAGCGCAACCAGTAGGAGGCCCGCGCCTGCCCCCGTGCCGCCGGGTGCAACCTGTCCTATACGAGAGAGGAATCCCTGGGACCCTGTCGTGTGGGTGAACCCTGCCCAGCCCCCCTCCGTGTCGCGATGCGCTCCCCGCTCCCGTTCCCCTGTGTCCCTGATCGTCCTTCCAAGATCCTGCTCGTGCAGGTGGGGACCCTGTCCCTCTCCCACCCCTCGTTTGGCGTGCCCGTTTTATTTATTTATTTATTCCTGTATTGCGAATGGGGACTACATGATTACAGGAAGGGTGGAGGGGCCCGTCTGCAGAGCAAGGCGGCGCGGGCACCCCCCACGGGGGCCGTAAAGAGAAAGCGGACACGAAACAAAAACACACGACCTGGGGAGAGAAAGAAAAATACCACCCGTGCGTCCGTGGCACGCCGTCGCAAGCCTCGGCTATCATATGGCTCACCACAGCGCGGGCACAGCAGCTCCGAGGAAGCGCCACCGCATTGATGTGCCGGTGTGCTGGGGCAGCATCCTGGGCGGCTCGTCGGATTGCGAGGCCGTGCCTTCGAAAATGGGCGCGTTTCGAGAGAAATTTTGCGCCGTTTGCCGCAAGCGAGGCGTGCTCGTCCCTACCACGCGGGTGCGAGTGCCGGTCGGTCCGATGAGCGAGCTCGCCAACCAAAACACGGAAGGCGTGTGGAACAGCCCAACCACCGCCTCGCCGTGGCCGCCGTATCGCGTCGTCAACCAGACTGCCGAGTCAAGCGGGCCAAAGCTGGTGATTTTGAAGGACGAGTGCTCAGAGCCCCTCCCGAACCTCGTCCACCTTCCGCTCACCTCCTCGCTCGAGTGGCTCACGCCCAGCGGGCAGGTCCGCCACAACTCCACTCCCCCGTGTCCCGACGCCCCGCGCACAGATGCCCATCTCCCCGCCCACAGGTCAGCTTTCGGGTCGGGCGGACGCTCAAGCCGATGGTGCCCATTCCGTGGGGCTGGGCGGAGCCCGCGCCGTCGCCAACGCTTGAGCGGCAGCCGCATGGGCAGCAGATCGCCGTCCTGGAGCCCCCGTTCGCGTCTACGCCCTCCCCGCCGCTCGCCTCGGCGCCTCCTCCGCCGCTCGCCTCGGCGCCTCCTCCGCCGCTCCTGAGCCACGCCGCCGCGGCGCCCGCGATGGCCGCCAGCCTCGAGCGTGAGGAGGTTCGGGAGAGCCTCATTGATGCGATGCTCGCCATGCCCTCTGTCAACCTGCTCGTTGCCGCGGCACCCGCCGCAGCGCCCGCCGCGGCGCAGTTCGCAGCGCAGTCGTGGTCGCAAGAGGAGGATTCGTGGCCGCTCGCGGTGGGGGTGGCGCCGCGCGAGGAGGAGGATCTCCCGGACGTGGGAGACGCAGCGAGGAGCCCCCATCCACCCACCCACCCACCCACCCCCTCCCCCCACCTCCCTTTTTACGCCCTCCCCCCACCCCTCCCCCCACCGGCCCCCACCTCCTGAGACGCT